TATTTGACTTCAGGGAATTGAGAGGTTTAAGAAGGCCGCTCAGGATGTACAAGGGAAGATATTGAGTGGGCAGGTTAGTATTTTTATTAATTGGACATTGCATAATTATACTCTTTGCGTGTATTTCTGTTTTATAAGTTGTGAGGAGGTTTTCATTTAGACAAGAATTAATAGAATGTTTTCATATCAAAGGTGTATGATCATTTGTCTCGAAGTGTCTTTGTTGAAACTAAAACATTACAATTTGGGATCACAATTTTATAGCTCTAACGTACTCATTTGAAAGGTTCAAAACAGATATGCAGGAGTTTATTTTATTTATTATTATTATTATTTTTTAATAATAACTTTTTGTGGCTTTTATGGTTGTTTAGGCTGGGGTGTGGAGGGGGATACAATTGTGAGATGTGTTTTAAAAGCTAGAATGAAATTAGAAGTTTAAAATTGCATTTTTTTTCTAGTACCTTTTTTTTTTAAAAAAATTTATTAAATTGAGAAACTAATTTGATTGAGAAGAAAAGAAGAGAACAAAATAACAAGTTAAAGTGCATTAAAAAGCCGCCCGAACCCAAAGGAGTCGACCCATTAGGTATAGGGGTGTTCATGGGTGTTAGAATCCATATAAATCAATTAAATTTACCCAACCCATCAGCTTAAGCTTTTGGGTTGAGTGGTGGTTTGTTCATTCTTAAAATAGTATCAGAGCGGGAGGTCCTATATTCGAACCCCTGCATTGTCGTTTCCTCCCCATTTATTATGATTTCCACTTGTTGGGTCTTGATGTTGTTTTCCAAGCCCACAAGTGAGGGGGAGTGTTAGAATCCATATAAATGAATTAAATTTACCCAACCCATCAGTTTAAGCTTTTGGGTTGAGTGGTGGTTTATTCATTCTTAAGAATGGGTCATATCAGGTTGGATTGAAATACTTTTTAGACCCAACTCAATTGTTCGGGTTGTAAATTAACCGAAATGGACCCTTATTAAATAATAAACCCAACTCAATCCAACCCTAAATTGTTCGGGTTATGCAGGCCACTTATTTGAAGTATCGTATAACAAAAAAAAAGTAAATTATAATATCTTAAACATTTATTTCTATGTTGTCTAACATTGAATCAAGATCTGTAAGTCGATGCTTATTTATATAGCGAAGAAGTACACCCGTCTGAGGCAAATCCCTTTCTCCAATTTACTTTTGTTTTTCTGCAGATGGTATGATGTTTTGTAATTGATGCTTGTTGTTTTAAAACAAGAGTTTTTAGCTTTTCTCTTGATATCCTTGAATGTCCGGGCCAGCTTACGCACACCTCGACTAATCTCACGGGACAACCGTCTGATTCTACAACATTTGGTATCGGGAAACACATAGAATTTACTAATTCCTAAGGTAGGTGGCCATCATGGGGTTCAAATCTATTCCCTCTTAATTAACCCTAGTCCCTTTAGACCAATGGGCCAGCCATGATGGTTAGTTTTTAGCATTTTTGAATCAAGTTATTAGACAACGTACAGTGACAAAGTACACCCCAAAAATTAAAAAAAAAGTTTTTTTCTTTTTAACTGAAAATTAAAATTGTTGCTTTTAAAAGCAGTTGTAGAAAAAATAATCCATAAACCTTTGCAAAGAAAAAAAAATCCATAAAGGTTTATTGAATGAAATAAAATTAAAATAAATATGGTGAGCTAAATAAATAGTTTAAAAATTAATAATTAGTTCGAGTGGTTCGGTTCAACCCAAATTTATTGTAGGGATAAACCTTTGAACTAACCCAACCCATAAAATTTTCATTTATTTGAACTCAATTCAACTCAAACAAGTTTATAACCCAACCCAAACCGCACAAACTGGGTTGGGTAAGGTTGATCAGTTTTTTGGGTCATCGGGTTTTTTAACACCTCCATCATTTTCCTATCGGATAAAGAGCAACAAAAGCCTAACGAGAACGAGTGAGAAAAACCCCACTCGTGAGGAAGGAAGAATGAAAGCTGTCGAATTTAGCTTCACAGAGGACAAACGATAAAGACGAAAAAATCTAGGACAAAGAGGTATGTTGCCCGACCTAACCCAAGTGTCTTCAGGACCCATTCCCCATGAGGTTTTTCCCAAATTGAGTGAAGAAAGGTACCTTAAAGGAAATCAATCCCAAACCTGAGGCCCACTCAAGGGATTGGGACCATGTTTTAGGTGTGTTCATTGGTCGGTCAATGTTGGTTTTTGCAGAAAACCAACACCGATAACAAGAGAGGACGGAAGAAAGGAAGAAGAGGGAGGGAGATGAAGGAAGAAATGAAAGAGAGAACTAAGAAAAGAGAGGGAAGAGGAAAGAAAAAGGGAAAGAGGAAAGAGGAGAAAGAAGAAAAAACGAGAGAGATAGAGGAAGGGGAGGGAGAGAGAAGTTGAAAAGAGAATATTAAACAGAAAAGGAAAAATAAAAGAAATGTGGATATCAAACAGCCATGTTGGTGAGAGAAAGGGAAGTGTCAAAAGAGAAAATAGAAGGAAAGAAAATATGATTCACGTGAATCAGCATCCATGTTAATCACGTGAATGATGGGTGCAGATTCCTCGACCTTTCTTTTTTTTTTTATTTAACAAGTCAATCGGTGTATCGGTTTTCTTTGGTATTGGATGAGTCGATCGGCCAACTAGTCAATTTTTCAAAAGGAAAAATCAATTCCAACCAATTCTTCTTTAAAATCAACGTGGATCGGATCAGTTTTTCGGCTATGGTTGATCACCCCTATCATATTTGCTTATGATAACCCTATGCCATAGAGAATTGACTTCCAAGGGAAAGCGCCTCAACCATTTAGCTAGAATGGAATCATTACGAAGCTCCAATAGCCAATACTCAAACCTCCACAGAATGAGACCTGCTGCCCTCCTTAGACCCAACACTCTTTTTTCGTCTCCATAGTTCATTTTTCATCTCTTATCTCGAAAATGAGTTGATACTAGAAACCTAGGAAGGATGAACTAGAGTGTCTAGTTTTTATTTTTATTTTTAATTTCAGACACGTGAGGGATGGACACTCCCACTTAAAAGAAACTTATTTTTAGTTCAAAAGAAACCTAGAATCAAATGAAAAACAAAAGCCCAACCCATTAAGCACTTAAAAACTCACTAGGGGAAAAAAAAGATAACTTAAAAAAAAACCCAAACAGTAACGAAGTAGAGTTTCTCCTCTCCTTGCCCACTTGCCCAATTGATCTCTGACTCTCCCTACCTTCTCTTTGCCTCCCTCCACCTCCGATTGCCCTCCTCTCCATCTTTGATCACCGTTGCCACCAACTGGCTCTGGCTCTAACCGACTATCTCGTCGCCGCTGCAACTAACTAGGTTTGGAAGTTTTTTATTAGAAGTATTACTACGTCAATATACACACATATATTATCTAATTTTTATATAAAAAATTTAACATGTCCGTGTCCTACGTTGTTGGTGTGTCGCTGTGTACGTGTTGTGTCGTGTCACTATCTCGTGTTTATGTCCATGCTTCTTAGCTATAAACTTGTATCTGCCTATGTTTTCTTTCCACAAATGTTAATGCACCCGGTTTTTGGTGCTGAGAAAATACAGCATCTCAAGAACAAAAAAGAATAATAAAATAGACTAACCATTACAGGTTGGCTTAGTGGTCATCGAGATGAGTGAAACAGTAAAGGGGCTTAGAGGAATGAGTTAAAAAATTCGTTGTGACCATGTGTCTAGGATATTAAACTCCTATGAGTTCTTGAATAACTAAATGTTATAGAGACAGATGGTTGTCATGTGAGGTACACATAGGTTGATTCAAACATTCAGTGATATAGACAAAGAAAGACTTGTATTCCTTGAAAAAAATAGTGATAAGCTGAAGGAGTGTTTATTTGTGTGCGGTAGGGACCTTGATACTTGATCATAGTTGCTATTTGAAAATTTTCAATTAGAAACTCTGTTCAAGAAATGTTTATATTTGTGGCTATTCTCATCCTATTGTGTTCTTTACCGTGTAGGATGCTTTTATCTTGTGGGATACATATGGATTTCCATTAGATTTGACTCAGGTACCTAGTCTCTCTCACATACACGCACAATTATTGCTTGCATGCATATGATCTAACTAATAGCATTTTCATGGGCTAGTTGATGGCGGAAGAGAGGGGGCTGCTGGTTGATATTCAGGGTTTCAATAATGCCATGGATGAGGCAAGGGAAAGATCAAGAAATGCTCAAAATAAGGTGAGTTCTTTTTGCTAGAGTACATTCACATTCTACCGTTGTGTTTGACAGTTCATTGTTTAATATTACATGGACCTACTGGTGGGAAAAAAGCCGATTTTCTTTTGGGCAAAATGTAGATGCTTTCATATACTGAACAATGCAAAAGAAGCTAATGACTATGGATTATTTAACTGATTGGAGAAAACATTTCGTTATTTTTATCTTTCGTTTTATTTCCTCTCTTCCAGCAAGCTGGTGGTACTATTGTCATGGATGCTGATGCTACAGCATCATTGCACAAAAAGGCAGTTGCTTCAACCGATGACAAATTCAAATTTATTTGGTTTAAGGTTTGTGAAGTTGTCAATTATATTAACAGTTTTGGTTGTTTGACTGCTGTATGTATTTTTAAACCCTCCGATCTTTGTAATTCCAGGATCATGAAAGTGTGGTAAAGGCTATTTACACTGGTAGTGAATTTCCAGAAAGTGTAGCAGTTGGTGATGAAGTTGGTTTAGTCCTGGAATCTACAAGTTTTTATGCTGAGCAAGGTGGTCAGGTATTTTAAAATCTTGGGTTCCCTATCATGATGCTTGATAAGAAATGGCTCCATTTACCATTCCGGCAGATCTTTTGTATGTCTGAGAACTCTAGCCTAGCCTCTGAGTGTACCTACTGAAAAGTAACTTTAAATTGTTTCAGCAATATACTGTTGTTAATTAACTGGTCTGTTCTGCTTTTTGTCTGGTACTTTAATTGTTTTACATTTCTATTTACTGCGTTTGTTACTTCCACAAATGAGCTTTATGTTTTTGGAAAAAGCTCGCTCATGGGCTCTTCCTATTTGTCAGAAATGAATCCTTGTTGCAGTTTGGGTGATCTTATGAAGTAGATTAACTGGAAGATACAATGCAACTAGAGGATTTAATAAAATCAGAATTTGGAAATTGTTCTGTTTATAGCTTAAATAGTATGATTTATGCAATTATTTTGCCTTGTCTTTATTATTATTGTATATCTGATTTATGATGCTCTTGTCTTTGGCATTAGATTTTTGATACGGGATCAATTGAAGGTCCCTTTGGCTCATTTCAAGTATGCAATGTTCAAATATATGGAGGTTTTATTGTACATATCGGTTCATTTAATGGAGGGAGTGGCAGAATTTTTCTGGGTGACAAAGTTATTTGTAAGGTTTTGAATTTTTATATGCATATATTATTATTTATATTTAACTGAAAATCTTTTTGCTATTCAGTGGTTTTGGGAAGCATTCTTTGGTTTATCAATGCAATGATTTCTCATCTATATTTCTTTTGCCATTTTTTCACAAGTCTATTGATGCATGCAGGTCGACTACGAGCGGCGTAAGCTCATTGCTCCTAACCATACTTGTACACATATGTTGAATTTTGCTCTTCGGGTATGTTTGAATTTTGGATGACATGTAACTCATAATTATTAAAACTGATATTCCATCTGTTTTCCAAGCTTATTTGAATAATAATTGCACAGGGAATACTTGGAAATCATGTTGATCAGAAGGGTTCAATCGTTCTTCCTGAAAAACTGAGATTTGATTTCTCTCATGGTTGATTTCTTTTCAGCTGTTTAATTTTTGTCACTTCATTGGAATTATTTTCTTTCCTTTTTTAAGTCTTTCAAAAAAGAAAGTGTCTTAATGAAAATGAAAATGAATCACTAAAAGAGGGGAGGGAGAGGGGGAAGGGTGGGAGGCTGGAAGAGGCAACCTAGAATATTCTTAGAAAGGAATTCTCTCAAACTAGCCAATGAGGTTGAAGGAACTCTCCAATTCTCTTGGGGGTTATAAGAAGTGCTACTACAAAATTTCTTAGAAACCATCTAAAGACTGAAAAGTAATTCTCTCCAAAATTTCATGTGTAAGGAAGCCATATTTTCGAAGGTGTGCGGTTAGAGCTTTCATTTGGTGCTTATGGAAAGAGAGAAACCATTGGGTTTTAACCATATTTCTCATCCAATTGATTATTTATGGAAAAGTGTACAAATTACTACTGCATTATGGTGTATAAACCATAGAATTTTTTTTGTAACTCAATTTAGTGATGCTCACACATGATTGGAAAGCTGTAATGCGTTAGTTTCTTGGGAGGGGCCTCTCATCCCCCTGCCTTACGTTTTGTGCTAATACATCTATTTCTTATATAAAAAAAGGGGAAAAAAACATCGAAGGTGTTGTGGTGTCTCTCAAGCCAAATATAGCCTATCTAACAGAAACAATTACCCTAATCCAGAAAACTTTTTGTTTTACCATGAAACCAAGAATGTGTTGGGAATATTGGGGAATACTAAGGTTATTAGCAGTGGCATATTTGTAATACTTGAGAAGTTTGTTAGAGTTGAGTGGCTAGAGGAAGTTAGGGCATTCAATTTGGGGGGTTAGTGTTTATAGTTTCCACTCCTGAAGGTAGTTTTTAGCGTGTTACTTTTTTGTTGTGTTGTGTTTATTTTGCTTTCCACCAGTCCCCAAAATGAGATAGAGGTAGGGCGGCCCCTTGGGAGAATCCCTAGACCTAAGGTAGGGCATTTGCCAAGATGTAGAGCAATTATAGAAACTTGCCCTGGATTTAGCTCCTCATTGCTCCAGTGTAAACTTATGATAGCTAGCTGATTCAGAATGTCCATAAGACTTTTGCGGCTTCCTTCATTGTCTTCAAGATGTAGAGCAATTATAGAAACTTGCCCTGGTTTTAGCTCCTCATTGCTCCAATGTAAACTTATGATAGCTAGCTGATTCAGAATGTCCATAAGACTTTTGCGACTTCCTTCATTGTCTTCAATTATTAGCTCCCTTATTCTTCAGAACCATATACCGAAAATTTAAATCATCGAAATAAAAAACTGCTCCATTATTCTCGTATTACTAAGTTCTGTTTCTTCTCATGGGAAGATGTCTTGGTCATCTTCAATCGTGTATTTGAGATTTTGATTGCTTAATGACTCCTGAATTAAATAGGCAAGCCCGTGGATCCTGACGATTTGAGAAAAATAGAATCAATTGTGAACAAACAAATAGAAGATGAGCTGGATGTAAATGCTAAGGAGGCAACCCTTGCTGAAGCAAAGCGTATTAATGGGCTACGAGCTGTTTTTGGAGAAGTAAGCTGCTAGTTGTCTTCTTTATTTCTGACAGCTTTTATTTTGTCTATGAGAAGCATGATGTCCAATATCTTCCCTGTTTATGATGCAGGTCTATCCCGACCCAGTTAGAGTTGTCACAATTGGGAAAAATGTTGAGGAACTCCTGGCTGATCCAGATAATGAAAACTGGTTAACCATTTCTTCAGAGCTGTGTGGAGG